TCATGTCATACAGTTACATCAACCCGTCACCTCATCCCCATCAACATCACCGTCATGTCATACAGTTACATCAGCCTGTCACCTCATCACCATCAACATCACCATCACACCATCATCACATCAACTCATCACATCATCCCTGTCAACATCACCATCATGTCATACCATCCCATCAACCCATCCCATCAACCCCATCAACCCATCCCATCATCCCCATCAACCCATCCCATCATCCCCATCAACATCACCATCATGTCATACAGTTACATCAACCTGTCACCTCATCCCCATCAACATCACCATCATGTCACCACCTCATCACATCATAATAGCAACCATTCCAGTATCTGGCCAAACCACTGAGAATCGTAGTCTAGCCAAGTTTACACATAAACTTAACCATTACAGCATGTGTGCACGTGTACCTGGGATGTGGGTGTGTGCTCACCTGTGTATGTGTGCCTGTGCACACTGTGTGTACATGGGGTGTATGCGAGCTTGTGCACACCCATGTTTGTGTGTGCATGTACACCTGAGGTGTGTGTGTGTGAGCCTGTGTGTGAGCAGTAGATGTCCACTTCCCCCGGGTGGGCCACCAGCCATACTCTGTGTGGGTCCTGGGGATGAAGGAGACATCCTGCCCACGTGGCCACGATGTGGTTGTGACAGGGACTGGCTGTTGGCCCCACAGTGGTCAGCAGAGCTGTGCTTCTGGGCAGAGGCCTTGGTGCAAGCAAAGGCATAGGCACAGGAGCCACAGGTACCGCACGGGGCTTTGTGGAGAATCTGGGTTCAGTGGGGAGGGTTCCTTGTTCTCCTGCTGGGGGTCCAAGGCACAGCCCTGGCCAGCGCTCTCCTGGGGTTGTGTCCCCACTGTGTGTGCCTTTGGTGCCCTGGTGGCTGCCCCATCCTGCTCCTGAGGGAGCGGCACATCCAGGAGGCTCAGGAAACCATGGGGTCAGCCACTCAGAGGTCCTAAGGACCCGCAGCCACGTGGCCACCTTGAGGGAGAGAGGGTTGTAAGGAAAGGGCAGGGCCAGGGAGGCAGCAGGGCGGACACCCCAGATTCTCCATGTCCTTTCCACCTTCCTCCCTGGAGCAGAACCCTCCCAGAATGGGGTTCCTAGGAAGGCAGCAGCCACGTCCCTGCCTTGGGCCAGGCGGGGTTGTAGTTGGGACCCCAAGGTGAGGACGAGACTTCAGGCCCGCCTTCAGCCGTGAGGCAGCTTACTGAGGGCCTGCCCAGGCTTTGGGTGGCCCCAGCTCCGTAGCAGTGAGGGAGCTGCCCCTCAGGGTGATGCACCCCAAAGCAGAGGCACCAAGGGGACTGGACTGCAAGTGCCCCTCCCCAGTGGCAACCTGGATGAGAGCCTTGGGGGCAGCATCTGTCTCTTTAGGCCTGAGCTAGAGGCGGGGGTCGTCCATAAGGGCAGGACTATCCCTAGGCCCTGGGTGAAGGAGCCTCGAGGTGGGAGGGCAGAGGTCCTCGGGGACCCGCATGGCGCACAGGGCCTTGAGCTGGTTGGTGGAGTCTGTCGGCGTCTCCCTCTCAGGGAGAGGGGCGAAGCATCTGGAGTCCTCCGGCCCGACCAGCCCTGAATGGCCTCCAGCCATGCCCGCCCCCCCGGGGGTGACAGGGACGTGAGTCATCAGAGAGGAGCGCAGCCCCCCACCCAGCCAGGGCCCGGAAAGGCCGTCCCCCCCGGGTGCCAAGGCCGAGGCGGCCGGGAGGGCAGCGGACATCCTGAAGAATGCAGAGGAGTTTCCACTCATTGTCGTCCACGTGGGAACCCGCGGCCGCAGGGGAGGCGGCAGCCGGAGGCTGCTAAGGGCCGGAGCCGTGAGGTGGGGCACCTGGGCAGCAGGGGCTCCTGTGGGGAGCTGAAACTCCTGGGGGGTAGGCCCCCGCCTTCTGTCCTCACACCCTGCCATGATGGCTTGACCTGTGACCTTGGGGACTTAAGGCCTCACATGGCCAGCCTGGATTTATTGGGGGGTGCTGAGGAGGTGGGCCGGCCGTGAGCCGGGGAGTGGGTTGGGGCAGCCAGCGGCCCGAGCAAGCTCAGCCTCGTGTGTGCCGAGGTCTTTCGGGCCTCCGCGGGGTGTCTGTGTCCACGCTCAGGAATCTGGGGTGCACAGGAGGCATGTGCCTCTAGCACAGACACCAGCCCGAGCACAGGAGGCGGCAAGGGGGTTCCATGAGGGAGGATGTGGACACGGGCTCTGGATGGGCCCCACGGAGCAAAGATGTCCAGCTGAAGAGGAGCAGGGCAGGTGGGCATTCTAGACGAGTGGTTCAGGCTGCAGAGCCAAGCAGGAGACCACCGAGAAGTGGGGGCGGAGGCTAGGGGTAGGAGAAAGTCGGGCCAGGCCCAGGGCGGGTGGCCCTTCAGCTCAGCCGAGCCAGGTTGTCCAGCCTTGGCATCGGCCTCCAGAGCCTCAGTCAGCCAAGGCTCAGAGCAGAAAGCAGCTCCCCACCAGGCCCTCCAGGGGGGCACAGCCTCCCCTCCTCCCAAAGGACTCAGACTGGGTCCAGAGAGGTCAGGGCAGCCTGTGAGGCTGAGGACTGTCCCGGACCCACCCGGTGTCTGAGAGCATCCCTCGGGGCGTCCCTGCATGGGCACCCACGCCCAGCCATGCTGACCGGCCCGTCTCCCCAGGACCTGGTGGGGCAGAGTGAGTGGCTGCAGGACAGGCTGCTCCAGCTGGTGGCCTCTCACGGTGGCGTGGCCATGACGGCACGGTGCGCCCTGGACCTCTCGCTGCCCGAAGGGCGGCTGCCGGCCACTGTGGCCAATGAGCTAAGCAGGCTTCGGCTGCAGGAGAGGTGAGCAGCCCGGGCTGGGCTGGGTCTGCACAGGTGACCCCGAATCACTGGTGCTCCAGGGCAGGGGGTGTTACAGGGGTGGTGGGGCCTCAGCTCTGCTCCTCTTAGGACAGCCCAGGCTGGCAGGAGCCTCGAGGAGCCCAGCTGCAAGGACAGGAGCAGTTACTACCAGCTCCCCATTGCCAGGGAGGACATCTGCTTCCTGGCCACATGGGAGGACCTGGCCCGGCACGGGCCCGAGCTCCTGCAGGTGGGCCCCTCTGCAGCGGTGGGGTGGACTCGGCCCAGGGGCAGTCCCGTGCACGCCCTCTGTGTCCACAGCCTCTGTCCGCAGCCCGGTGGGGTGGGCCCAGCCCAGGGGCAGCCCACCTCATGCCCACACCCTCTGTTCTGCAGCCCGGTGGAGTGGTCGGCATGGACCTGGAGTGGAGGCCCTTGTTCCAGGCAGTGCGTCGGCCCTGCGCTTCCCTAGTGCAGCTGGCGGTGGAGGGCCGCGTGCTGCTGCTAGACATGCCCAGACTTGCCCAGCCCCCGGGGGGACGGGGAGCGCAGGCCTTGTCCCAACTCCTGGGCCAGCTCTTCTCAGACCTCTCCATCACCAAGTTGGGTGAGCCCGCATCGCCAGCCAGAGGAGGGTGCTGTGTGTACCCTGGGGCAGGGTGAGGAGGAAGGCCACATCCCATCATGCCGATGTGGCACCCTCAGGTTACGGGATGGCAGGAGACCTGCGGAGCCTGGCCGCCTCCTGCCCCACCCTCGCCGAGGCTGAGAAGCAGATGCGGGGCGTCCTGGACCTGCAGCAGGTGCACAGGCAGGTCAGCGCGAGTAGGGGCTGGGAGTGGTAGGTGTGGTGGGCAGGGGTGGGGCTTGGACGAGGGCTGGGGCATCAGGGCATTGGGGGAAGGCCTGGGCAGGGCATGGAGGGGCGGGGCATCACGGCCAGGTGTGGAAGGTCAGGGTGTGTGAGTGGGGCGGGGCATGGGGGCAAGAGAGTGTGGGGCATGGAGGGGTGGGTTGGGGGTTCGGGGGCAGGAAGTCAGGGAGGGGGCAGCCAGAACCCAGGCGAACCTGCCAGTCTGGGTCCAGCGCATCAAGCACAGGCGGCGCCATTTTGTCAGATGCGGTTGGCAGGCATGCCAGGCCCAGCTGTGGATGCGGCAGGGGCACCACGGGGCCTGAGCCTCCTGGTGCAGCAGGTGCTGGGCAAGCCCCTGGACAAGGCGGAGCAGCTCTCCAACTGGGACCTGCGGCCACTGCGGGAGGCGCAGCTCATCTATGCAGGTGTGTGGGGTGGGACAGCTGGAACACTCCCCTGAGGGGACAGGCATCCCCCTCCCTCGAAGCCCCCCTACCCACCCTGTGGCCCCCTGCCTGTGCATTCCAAGGAGGCTGAGGCAGACCCCTGCCCCCAGCCACAGATGCCTACTGCCTGCTGGAGGTGTACAGGGTGCTGTGCCGAGACCCTGCCCGCTTCCACCTGTCTATGAACCTGGCCAAGAGCCTGGGGCCCAGGCGCAGCTCGAGATCAGGGGCCCAGGGGCCACCTGGCCGGCAAGAGGCCCCGTCCTCGCCCCAGCAGGTGGGTGCAGGCCTCTCTGGGGACCCATCAGGGATGGGTGAAAGTGGGGGGTGGGCACGCGCCACTGGCTGCCCATCAGAGCTTCCAAAGAGGATACCCAGGCCCTGGCTCCCCACTGAACAAGCGTGGCCCCTGGAGGAGCTCAGAAGGCCGATGAGTGAGGGGCAGGCTGTGTTGTAGGTGCCTGCGGCAGTGGGCGAGGGAGCAGCCCCCGAGGTGTCTGCCAAGGACTTCCGCGTGGTGTGTGACAGCATGCTGCAGGGGTTGGCACGGAGCCTGCGCTGCCTAGGCGTGGATGTGCGTGTGCTGGGGGCCGGCGAGGACCACCGCAGGGCGGCTGAGGTGAGCACGCGGCTGGAGTCACAGGTGGAAGGACAGCAGTCCTTCCTGAGGACGGTGCTGCGGGCTGAAACCCAGGGCAGGGAGGGCCGGCGAAAGCCAGGCGCTTAGCTTCCTGTGGCAGCCGTAACAAATTATCGAAAATTGGAAGGCTTCAAACAGAAATTTATTATCTTATGATTCTGAGCTAGAGTCCAAAATCTGTCGTGGGCTGGGGTCTCCAGGAGACAGCTGCTCCTCGCCTGTTCCAGCGTCTGGAGGCCACGCGTCCTCTTCCTGCCCCCCCTTAACTCTGACCTGCTGTCAGAGCTCTGTTGTCACAGCTCCTACCTCTGCTGACCCTCCGACCTCCGGGTGATGAGGACCCTTGTGAATACACTTGGGTGTGGTGACCCTCCCTCCTGGTGATGAGGACCCTTGTGAATACACTGGGTGTGGTGACCCTCCCTCCTGGTGATGAGGACCCTTGGGAATACACTGGGTGTGGTGACC